CCCCAAAACCCCAAAACCCCAAAACCCCAACTTCCAAGTCAATAATTGAATTTCCTATAAAAATGAAATCTGCCTCTAAACTCGCTGTAAGTTCCCTCTAAACTCTATGTACAGTCAAAATACCCTCACGGTCAGAATATTGATTTAAGTACTGCTTGCTGGTTGATCGGTTTAGAGCTGAAAAAGAATTTGGTCAGTATACTGGCAGATAGGTAAGCCCTTAGCTTATAAGGCTGAACCAGACCCAGTCTAAGCCAAGAAAGCATTTGAATAAATTCAAAAGAAATCATTCAAGATCTATCTGTCCCAAATTTAGGCTGAAAATGAAATAAGATCAAGAGAAGCATCAGAAAAGTCATGAAGAGGTTGGCATCTGACTCTCATTGTATAGAAATAAAGAAATTAAGTAAATATTTTAGATCTTCATAATTGGATAAATAAAGGAATCTAATGTCTAGACTTTGTGATTCATTTCAAAAGAATGGCAAGGGTTATAACAGAAGTTTATGAGAGAACAAATCTCTACCGAAAATTCCAGTTAGTTCATATCATGTTAGAACAGATTCAAGTATTTTGGGATTTAATTCGTACAGATCAGGAAAAGTTTAGTCCCCTGATAAAATATAACAGCTCTTTTGTGAAAAAGTAATTCTTATTATTTCATTATCAGAGAGTGAAGCATGGATAGATCACTTTCAGAAAACCTTCTTCTCAGCAGAGATGGGATTAACTGCAGTAAGAATAGCTCAGGGAGTCAGAGACACATGAAGAATCAGTTGAGTCTTGAACTACCAATGCAAAGTAAAGATATTCTGTCTTCGCATCCATATATGAATTCATGACAAGCCAATGTAATATTGTGAGGATAATTATTAGAATGAAAATAAGGAACTTAGATTGCCCCTTGGAGGAGGAGGCTGAGCTAAACAAGTATATTTTCTTGATCACAATAGATGTATAAATTTAAATCAAAATTATTTGAGTCTTTCAGAAGCCACAACTCTCTAACCTCCAATAACAAACGTTTGATAAAATCAAGGTCTTATGAAAAATAAGAGGTTTCTGTCTCAAAGACTTTTGAGCAAAAAGTCATCTTCTCGGAAAACTCGTAAACAGATGCTATAACTTATAGGGAGGCCTGGTAAGCCAAAGTCAAGAAAGCGTAGAGAGGCAGATTTGTCAAGTAAGTTGTTGCTCTAACCTAAAACTAGACTCTATCTATATAATCAAGCAGGGTGAAGAAAAATCTGTATATACTCCAAATGTTAAAGGCAAGAAAAGAGTCAGATTTTATACCAAGAAGACCCTTAAAAATATTGAAAGGTATGTTCAGAATTATCAGCTTTAGTGTCTGAAATGTCGAAATCATGCGAATGAAGATCAGTAAGAGTCTCTCTTATTATTTAGGTATCTCACAGAGGAGATAATTCATGTACTCATACGTTTGCTATCAACGAGGGGTATCAAATATTTTAGAAATTTTATTAGATTGTAAAAGCTTAATTTCTTAAGCTCTTTGTCTCAAGAAATTTGCATCTTGTTTTACAAAAATTCCTTATTAATTGAGAAAGCTAAATTTTCTCTAAAAAGAGGTTTTTATTAGATGAGTATGGTTAAGACAGAAAAGGGTTTTGGGGTTTTGGGGTTTTGGGGTTTTGGGG